CAAAAATTACGTTTGAATTTGATAAGGATTTTTACAGTTAAAAGAGCATAGGAATCGATAAAAGAATCTTAAAGGATTTTCTTTCATCAGGCGATCATCAGATAGTACATTCACAGTAACTGAAATAAAAAGTTCACCTTTGCCTTCCAGACGACATTCATTTTTCTTCTTATTTCAAAGTTCACCAGTTTCCTTCAATCTGAGATGATGAAAAAGTGTAGTTGCACTGGTTTTTATACACCACGTATAATTAAGAATCTGAATCAGAGCAGGTGCATTTATATTCATGATATATCTGTTAGGAATAATTGCGACATTGCATAATTCCACTTGGCACGACACCTTGCTAACACTCACCCAGACATATCATCTATTGAAAGCGTGGGCCACACAAACAAACACAAAAGTTTAAATTGTGGGGTCTAGACAAAACGGGATTTATGACAAAGTTTTGGATGTGGAGCTTGGTTGCCTTTTGCGAGCCACTCTCCGACTTCAGAGGGTAAAACCGCGCGTCGATATAATATAGAGCTTGTGCTTTCTTTACATTGCCCACCAGGGACTAAATTACTTACTACTGATAATGACAGTGAAAGATAAACATATTACAACTGTTTCCACGCATAAAAAGGGAAACATTATACAAAATAAGGGAATTTCCTTTGAATACTTAGGTATTTCCAACATAAAATTGCACAGAAAGTTTAGTTTTGAAAACTACTTTTCGCGATAGAAGGTCATGACTTTTGTTTTGCCATGTTTCTGTCAGTTTAACCTCCTTTTTCATTTGTATTTTTTTTATTTTATCGTAGACGAAGGCGTTATTTTCGTTTTTTTTATGTTTACAACCTTTTCAGTGATATGACTTAACCTTTCAAAGGAACTCAGTTAAGTGAGAGTGTGCTAAATTAGTATTCACAGTATACGTTGCGATCTCCAGTAGACCTCATTACTCACGGTCGAGAGAGGGCGGAGCTTTCTATCCTTGAGGGCGAAGGCGAGGGCCGAGTAATTACCCAAAAGAATTTCTTCGTAATAGAAATGGAAGATTAATTCAAGCGCATACACCCCTTTAGAAAAAAAATAAATAAATAAACTCGATATGTGGAAAGGCAAAAACAAATTTCTCGTGAGAATAACCCTGAAACTGTTTCCGAAAACCAGAGCATTTAAATAACTTTTTGATCTAGTAGCACGAAACGAAATTATAAGTCTTTCCCTAGTTCTCGGTGCCACCAGCTCAGTCACGTGGTTAATGACGTAACAGCCACCATGCAGTAATGAGGATAATTTCATAACTGCATTCTCTACTGTATCAGCCCTCGAATTCAACGAAAAGTTGACCTCTTACAACAGCTTTCGTCTATTTGATAAGGTTAATATTATTTTAAGTCAGCTTAAGAAGACCGCGATCATTTTTTAAAAATTCGTTCTTGATGTAACACAAAAGAAATGGGAAAAAAACCGGCTTTGTGATTTTCTCTGGCATAAAAAGATTTACCTTTGGTATGCAGTAATTCAAATTTATGAAGTTATCGCATGGGAAAAGGCCGAGCGAGACTCCACGAGCGTTCCGCTCTTCGCTTCCGATTGATAAACGACTGTACTCTTCTGACTCATTCGATAAAATCACATAAATTAACTTCCGATGACCTAATTTGTTAATACACACGAAGTAATGACCAAAATTTGCTTCTTTTTTCGAATCAAGACCCATAGTCGGCTGAAAGCTGTCAAAAGTTTATGATTAGAAGGGTCGAAAATTCTCATTGAGACAGTCTCATTTCATCGCGACATACCACCTTAGTCTAACCCAGTCAAAGCCCGAGCGACATAGGGAACTTCAAATCATTACTCCTGCGATTGTTTATTTTCCTTTATTTTATTGAAGCTTTTAACAATTATCATCAGTTCAAAGCTAAGTTTTATAAAGTGCGCGGTGTTTTCACTCGCCCGCCAACGCTTCGTTCCCAAACAGTGGAACTCGTATTCCGTGACATTTTGCAAACATGTTAGCGCGGCGTGGCAATTTGCCACAAGTATAACTTTAATATCCCCGTGACTCCACTTTGTTGAAAATATTGGCCTGCACAGATATAGAAAATCTCGCGGCACCATTGGTCAGCTTAAAGCGTTCATTGTTAATGAATATATATCTGTCAAAGTCAGTTCCACAGATAAAGCTCGCAAACCCGAGCCTATTTCCGTGTTACGCAAGAAGCAAACAGTAAATAAGTTGAATATGCTTTATTTTTGGAGAAAGGTGAGGTTTTTTTTAATTTCTTAGGACCTTTTTTTTACGTAAAAAAAGGGAAGATTTATCTTTTTTCTTTAGGAGCCTTTAAACTCTTACCTTTTTTGTTCGCACAAATTTTTGTCTAACGGTGAAAATTCCTGTTCTAGTTTAATGAATTTTCTTGAATATTCGGAAATTGTCTCCTTAATCATTCTAACATGCGACTCTGTAATACTTCACAAACAAAGAAGAGAATTTTTATCCACAAAATACGAAAAAAAAATCAGTGAAGTTTAAAATCTGACAATTTTTTTTGTTTGCTTTGATTTCGGTGCGTTAAACCTCAATCGAATTTTGACAAATGAAGAGTCACGGGCTTTATCCTTTTTATCTCATTGCATATCGCTGTTTCTGACGGCTTAAAAGTAAATTATCTCGTTTGAACTTTGTACATGATAACCTCTAAGTTACCAGTATGTTTTGCCGTTAATTGCTTTGTCTGTAGCTGTGTTAGAGAGGCATCTGACTGAACGAACATTGTTTCCTTGCTGGAAACATACCGTGACAACATACAGAAATGACCTTGAAAGGGAAATAGTTCTTACAAAATTCTCTGAGCTCCTGAATTTTCTTCTTAAAATCATGTCAACTCTCTGAAAAGTCTTGTTGATCACATGAAAGCGGCGAAGAAATGTAAAAATCTAGCTTCAAATTTTTCAAACTTCAATTTACTCGAAATAATTCACTAAATCGCTGTTAGAACAAACAAATAAATTACATATCTCGGTATTTTCCTTTATTTCAGTGTCCTGTCATAGTTGTGGTTCTAATTCTGATCTACTCATCATTGAAAGTGACCAGTTGTCCACATCATCATCAAAATCCTCAACGAATAATCAAACGCCTCTTCCGAAGATACATGTTTGTAGAAAATCCTTACCCTTCGCAGGTGCACTTATCAGTAATTCCAAAACGTGTCAGTCGTCAAATCACTTTACAGACACCAAGTTCTACAATGTGCCCCTGGAGTTGGTCCCACGACGACAACCCGGATCGCGTCCCACGATTTTTGACTAAAGCCGTGTGCCCAGATTGTAAGCATTTTTGCCGCGCGGTTTTGTATAACTACAAAGGACTGATGCAGAGGTGTGACGTCAGAATAGGGAGAGCAGTTTGGAAATGGACTTTATTTGAACTTCCTGTAGCATTCGTTTTCGATCCTTAATAACTTCCCTTTTTATAATCAAACAAACAAACATTTTAGACGTTCAAAACCTCCACAGGTTTCTGAGAATGACTGAAATGAAAAAAATTACTTATAATACGACCATTATTTAAGGCAAATTTTTTCCATATACTTTGTATGAAAGGAAAATGTTCCGAGAGCGTATGCAGGTTCAATAATTGATAAATTAAGCCATCAAGTTGTTCTACGTATTTTAATTACCAGAAATAATTTCCCTCCCACTCAAACATATTGAGATACGAGCCATACTGATAACGACTCCATCTGATGCTTATTCCGGTAAATCAGAAACTTTGTGAATACATAAGACTAAAACTTCCTGGCTCAGTTTTGAATGTTTAATTCTTTTGAAGTAAGTCAGAGAAATTTCCAATTAAGTGTCGAAAATAATCGGTTTGCATTGGTTTCAAGTTTTGCTCTACTTTGCTCTGTGATTGGTCCAGAAAAATCGCGCCACTCCATCAACCAATTGAATTCAAAACTAACACCAATTATGACTTGGTCGCCCGCGTTTTCCCGCGCTCCATGGGCGGTTTGTGTAATTTTAGTGTGGATTTCCATTGGCTCGTCACGGTATCTTATTTTCTTCCGAGTGGCTGTTGTTTTAACTTTGGTTTTGGTTTTACGACAATCATCAATCGAAGAACGCTCTATTTACAACTGAGTCCACAGGCAGACTACACTATGTGTTCTTGGTTATAATAATTGTTGATATGAAACGAACAAATCCATAAGGGTTATGAATAAACTCTGAAAATTGCCTTTCGAAATTACATCTGGGTCTGAGAATCTCAATAACGTTAGTGTTAATCAACGCATTTGTGGTATTTTTTTTTTCTCTTTCATGGGCCGTTTCAAGCTTCTTTTTACGAAATTATTTTTTGGGCCGGAGGCCGTCGAGAAGAAAAGGAGACATGACTTGCAACTCGATGGTCGCCAGCCGCGACCGCTTCCACTCCAAACTAGAATTAACGCCAAACTACAGAAAATGTCTCCTACCTTGAGAAAAGCAATTTTCAATACAGCCGAAACACGAACAACACATGCCACCATCGTCTAGTTTGACCCGCCAAGCCGACATTTTTCTCCTGCAAAACACTACTTTGCACATGCTCTCGAGTAAAAACAGCATGAAAAATACATTAAAATAATTTTTTGCATTTGGTTCGGCTCAGTTGAAGTACGGCGTCCGAATCAAAACCGGCCTACAGCCTTTCTTCCCGGCTGAGCCGGGCGGGATTAATTGACTGATCCAATCTAAATTAAATCAGCCATTCCGAATTGATTCAGACACCGTACTTCACATGAACTTAATTCGTTGAATTTTATTCAGCTCGGCGGAAGTACGGCGTCTGAACTGGGCCTAAATCAATTCAGCCAGGATTAACTAAATTAGGTCGCCTATCGTTGAATTCGATTCAGATCTGCGGCGCGGCCGAAGTGCGACGTCTGAACCGGGCTTTAGATCGTGTTCCATTTATGTAATTCAGTTCTCACAATAAGCGACTTTACTTTAGGTTTACAGACTTGACCAAAATTTATTCACCAATAGGACGGCCTGTCGCAAAATTGTTATTCAATTCCGATAGCCTAGGAATTCACTTGATAGTTGTATTCGTCCTCTAACTAAAGCGAGCGTTAAACTTGGCGTTGCATACACTTGATATTAAAATGCTTAGCATCAGAATTTTCCGACTAGCTTCCTTTCTCAATGAGTGAATGTTCCAAAGCGTATGTTCTGTCCCGTTCCTACCATATACTAGTAACCTTCGCACGAAATTTTCTGAGGCCTGCATTTAAAACGTTGACAAACCACTAGAATTACATGACGTGTAAAATACAGGCTTAGACCAGCACCTTTCCAGACTTTCTTCGTGCATTCCTTTCAAACGGAAACATTGCGTGACAACCTACGAAGCATAACGCAGGAGGCTACCGCAGCAAGTCACGTGTAGTGTAGTAGTGCAAAGTGCCCGACAGCTCATACTGTATCACAGCGTTCATCATCCCTTCACACAAACCACTTGCTTCAGCGTGTGAACTACATCCACCAAGTCACTCTGTGCTGCCATGACGTCATCGATGTCCTTGTAAGCCATTGGTGTTTCGTCAATCACGTCAGCATCCTTACGACACTCCACGTCTCGTGTCGCCTGCACGTGATCGTCAATTGTGAACATTTTCTTGGCTTTAGCTCGTGACATGACACGGCCGGCACCGTGGCTACAGCTAAAGGAGTATTCAAAAATTTGTTAACATAAATATAGTCATTATCACTATGTTGTTGTTCTTCCATCTTTTTCTTCAAATCAAGTAATTTACTTTTTCTTCAAATTTTAAATCTATTATATTAAAATCATTATGAAAAGAGTATTGGAAATGTGCAAAGGAAACTTGCCTTGAACTCACTCAGCTCTAAGTGGCAGTATGGCGAATAATTCAGTTGTTCGAAGCACAGACGCAGTTATTCATGACGAACACACACAAAAAAACACAAACCTGTGAAAAGCCTCAGGATTTCCCTTGCCTCTGACAATGAACGACCGCGCGCCCATGGACCCTGGTATAATGCCTAACTCACCCTGACGAGCGGAAACCTGTAAGGAAAAAAATTCCGTGAAAAAAACAGTCAATGTAAAGGAATGCATATTAAGATCCTCGTTATTTCGACTGGGAACCGAAAACAATCCTAAATTGTGATAGTTTTTGCTTTACTTCGTTCTCTGATTTGCTTGTCACATTCGCGCCATTCTCTTTCTCAGCCAATCAAATTAAAAACTAAAATCAATGGCGACTTGGTCACCCGCATTTTCCCGCGCTTCATCCAGGTTACCTTTTTTACTTTGTGTTCTCGTTGGCTGCTTGGGATATTTACCTTTGCCCTGTTTGGCCGTTATGCATGATAACCTTGGTTCTGGTTTCACCATACGTAATCGATAAGTACATTATAAGTTCCGCTACCCACTCAATGAAGCAAATTTCTTATACAACAAAAGCTCCAAAGGAGGTTAAGACAACTTTGTTTCTACGAAATGTAAATAATGGGCTATTATGGTTACCAACCGCGCCCTTTCTTGTGAGAAACACTTCTCTTCCAAAGTGTGTCTCCACCTTGACGTAATTGTGATGACAGTTGACAGCCTTGCTGGACGGATCCACATTGAAGGCCGGCATATCGTTACAAGACTGTGCTGCCTTGAGCACATTGGTCATCATTAAATTACGATTCAGCCGAGCAAATTTTTGTGCCCAATTAACGGCAAATACGTAGTCGTCGAAGTTTTTCGTTCCCTCTCTGAGGTAAGCGAGATCTCTATCAACCTATGTAATTAAAAAAAAATTAACTTATCTTCCTGATAAACTGTGGTATAAAGTCCCAACTTCCACCAGTTCAAAGCTAGTTATCACTATTAGGGGTTCAAAACGGGCCATTTTTGGAAATCCTCTTGAAATGAGAGATTTTGAAAATAGAAAATTTCTGTACTCGTATGGACAGAGAGAAAAAGGTACTTTTTGAAATCGATGATTTCAAACCTTGCTTCCTAGTCCTCTAAACTAACCCAGCTCTAAAGGGTTATTACCATATTCGCTTTGGATGGAACAGCATACCTTGATTTGCTTGTCCAGTTTCATCATGTCTTTCTTGGCGAGTTCAATAAAAACTGTGCCGATCCTGTTGCCTGGGCCTCGTGACCCTGAATGCAGCATAAACCACACCCTGTTTTCCTCGTCAAGACACATCTGAAGGAGAACAACACTATGGTTCGGATAACTGGTAGAATTAACGACTCAGTAATCATCGTTCGGGAAAGGCTGAACTGGAAGCCTAACGAAAATTAAAGTCTAGGTAACTGGAAACTATACACATTGTTGATATTCACAGTACAGCTTTGATACAGACAGGAAAATTCACTTTTCACAAAATCAAGTTCACATAATTTTTCAAGGAGGGAAACATTGGGGAAATGTCTGACACATGATTAAGTTGCTGAGGTATGTGGTGCTTAGTAGAAGATAGATTTTCTCTCCTCCCTGATGTTATCCTCTGTTGCTCATATGCACTTGGAAAAAGATGGTTGTGGATTTGGATAGGAGCTTTAAGGCACAATAAAAGTGTCAGAATCAGTGTATTTTTCTTTGTCACTTTTTAGAAAAAACAAAAGGGTTAAACCAAACAAACAAGCAAAAAAAGAAAAAAAAATTCAGGAACTACCATTCATGATAGAATCTAAAGACAGGGCCAAGAATTGTAAATAATCCAGGTTCAACTTCCATGGCAAACAAAAGCATTACTTTATCAAAAACCCAAGATGAGCTTATTGTCAGATTTCAAATGCCCCTGCTCATGTATGGAATTTAGAGCTTTCCACTTTACTGCCACAATAGCCAAACTCAATTCATTTAGGAACAGATGTAGCCTTGCTATGACTTGGTTTGTAAACTCAAAAGTCATGTGTCTCCTCTCACAACAAATTCACCTCAATAAAGTGATTTCCTGTTCCTAGAGTCCCCAGATGATTGACAGTGTTCTGTGCCTTGGCCAATGGCTGGCGACTGCAGATGAATTCATACTCTTTTTTTAGTTTATTCCACTCATTCATCACATAGTCAGGAATTTCTCTGGCCTTCCAGGCGCCTAGGTCACCTTTACCACCCTAGAAAGAATTTGAAAATATTGCTTACTAGAGAGCCTAAACTTAATCCATTCTTTTTCAATGTTAAGTTGAATTGACCCTTAAACTCCCCTGAGTGACCGAAACAGAATTTCTCCATACAATATCAATACAATTTATCAACCAGATAAGTGATGCAAATAAAGAAAAATTTCAATTTGGGGATAACCAGTTGACCCAAAACTAAATTCTCTAAACTAACATTATAAGAATTGTATGATTTACAGTAAGGAGAATGAAAAATTTGATCTGGGCGCTAAAGGGTTAACCAATGGAATAACAATAATCCAGTGTTATCCAAAGATTCTGTAGCAGCCAGCCATTAAAAAAAAAAAACATTGGCCAGCAAAGGCACTTTACTTCTTTGTCTTATTTGAGTAGCTGACACCTCAGAAACCCAATAAAAAGTGAAAATTCCATTCACTGGTGCTTCTGGTCATATGATTTGTAAGCTTGAGTCTAGATCAAGTTGAATTAGTCCAGACTCTGGCTGCCTCAAGGAGCTGACTGCTCTTGCAAAAAATTAATTTTTTTATACCCAGGGATATAATCAGTATAAAGGGTACAAAAAAAATTTTTCACATGTAAGATGAAAAACAACAAAATAGATTGATAGCTCTTTGTCCACTGTTTTCAAGGCATGATTAGAACCTGAAATGTTGGTTTTTGTGCAGGGACTGAAGAACTAATAGAAAATCCAAAATAGAGCACACAACTCCAATTCTGCTCCAATCTCCCCATAAGGGATTGAAACAGTAAATGATGAATTGTGAGTTAATGAAGGTACCTGATGGGTTCGTCCATGTGGTACAGCCTGCTCAATAGCCCTCCTAAGGTTCTTCAGTGAATCTGGCAGCTGTTCTGCAGTTATTGTTGTCCTTACTGCCATCATTCCACATCCAATGTCCTAAATAAATGGGAAGTAAGTAAATTTTTATCATTTATAAGTCTTTAATTCTCTTTCAGAAACCTACTCAAGAACACATTGTCACTGAGATCACAATATTCTAGCACACTAATCTCATCTTTAATATTCTTCCTTTCACCCCTACTTCACCTTTACAATGTTGTAATTTGTTTTCTGTGTTTCTGCAAGTAACTGGATTGGAGAAAGGAGTGTTTTAGTGAAATCTGATTCACCTTAGATGTCATCTCTTGATATTTTCTTTAACATGGCTTTCTGATTGTTGTCTACTAGTTACCAAACAGATTTTTGATCATATTGCCATATCCATCCTCACAATTAATTGGAAACATATTAAAATGATTTATAAGTCGCACTGACCACTCCTACTGCCGCTGGAATGATTGCATCAACAGTAGCCACCACACAGCCCACACATGCTCCCTTCCCAAGATGCATGTCAGGCATAGCTGCAACATGTGAGTGGATTATTGGCAATTTGGCCAGAGAGCAAAGCTGGTCAGCAGCATCCTTTTCCACAGGAACACCTTTCACCCATGCTTTAACTGGCACACCATTCTAATATAGAATTAAAAAAGGTTCCAGCAATTGAACACAAATATCTTCAACAAAGCATTGCCTTGTGTAATGCGTGCTTTCCAACTACAAATAAATCCTCCAAAATTATCATGTGCAGAAACCACTCAGCAGACCCTTTTTTTGGTACCAAAAGGTTGGAAGCTTCACCCCCATTTATTTGCCTATGCTTCTCATTACCAGTGTCTTAAAAACATATTTTCCGACTTGTTATAAACTGCATCATTTTACATTCAATTTTGCTACTGACTAGTGAATAGACTCTATGAGATCTACGATATCGTATTTGGACTATCGGTTGTAGAAGTTTCTAGGATTCATTATAATATGGACACAACCAACTAAAACACCACTGACAAGTAAAATCTCGTTTGCCATTTGGAAACAAAATCTAGTTAAAATTTACAAAATCAAGGAAATAACACAGGGCGATTTCTCGATTACAATGAAACACTGCATTTAAAGTTGCTTACACTCTCCCCCTCGCCAAGAACCACGTAACTTAACCTCCTTTTGATCGCCAATCTACCTCTGAATAAAGAAATCAGCTGTTTACGACCAATTCGCAACGAAAAGGAACGTGCTATCTTCCAACAAGACATCGTTGTAAACAACTGTGTTGGTCCCAGTCTTACTCAATAATTTCGTTTCAAAAGGTCCGGGGGAGGAGACGGGGAAAAGCTGGGAGGCGAAGGAAGGGAAAGTATTTCCATCGGGCACATTTGCCTATAATTTACTTGATGTTTACTCACAGAGAGAAATATACTTAACATCATCTTATTCAAGAAAAATAAACCCTAAAGTTCATTACTCGTGGTTTTCTAGAATAAAGAGACATTTGGCAATACTTTCTTGGCTTCGACGTGGGAAATCTTCCAGAAGAAACAGACTTATCAAAGTTTTACTTGTGATAATCAGATATCTTAAGAATTAACTAATATAACCTTGTAAATGAATTAAAAATGTTTTCAGATGTGGCCTCTAGCTGGCAAAGGTAAAGATTTTTTCTAAACGCAGGTAATTTACAACTTTTTCTAATCGAAGTAGCCGACGCTTCAGAAACTAAAAGCCAGCAAAACGCCAGACGCCGGTGCTTTTAGAGAACACTGAATATTTGACACGTTTAAGTCGATAATCCTCTCAAGCCTTTTATTAATTTCCACTTAGAGCTCAGAGCCGGCGACAATGCCGTTGTCTCAACATAAATTGTACGTCAGAAACAATCCTGTAGATCCTACAGTCCCTTAAGATCCGCGTCGCTTTCAGACAGATCCCTACGCCACTTCTGAATCAACGTATGAGCAAAGGGCTAATGCTCGCAATGTCGGCCTCAGAAAATCTTCACGATGGCCAGTTTACATTATCCACTGAATTTATAAAACCAAATTAACTATTTTTTGAGCTTTGATTTTTTGGCTTAGCTAAAAATTTATGACATATCTTTTTTGTTGAAATTTTGAACATTAGTCCTTTTTTAGGAAAATCACGTCTCAAAACTGAGGGGCGATTAAAGAATTACCACAATACCCTTTTTATCACAGATTTGGAAACGCTTTTCACAAGGGATGTTTTCACATATTTGGTTTCCGTTTAATATGGTCGAAAATTTTTGTAATCATATAGGGAAACATAAATTTCTGCAAGGGCCCTCCGTAGTACACTTGTACAGAGTTCTTCACTCTCTGCTGTAAGGTGAGTATTGAAAGCTTGAAGAATGAGAGATAGAACTCCAAACAACTTGGTATGATTAGATCGTCTAGGCGAAGTTACTTTTCTGTTAGTTTGAGGGGTAATCCTGCTGTCATCTCCTTGCGGGAGGCTTTGGGGTTGGTCCGAAGTGAATGAAACTTCTACGGTGCCTGTTTTTCCTCCAAACCTGGCGTAATCCTGGGTATATGGTGCATGAAACGTATTAGCAAGGTCTATCATCAGATTGGATGAGTTGGGTGCACTACTAGCGAAAGTTTCCGGGGCGATTCCTTCGTTTTTGGTCCCTGAAAAATCTAGGTCGTTGGAGTGAACTGCCGGACTGGTTATAGTATGGATTTCAGCCATCTGCTGTGTTTCTAATTGCTGGAGAGATGGGGGAGTTGTTAATGTTGATGAATCGTCAAAACGACGCGGCTCCGCCAGAATTCCTGGCTGCAAAACATGATAGCACTGTCGCCCTCTGTTTTCGACGATGGGGGTAGCACTGTTAGGCGGGTGAGAACTGTAGAAAGACTCAAACGTCTCTTGTCTCAGAATGTCAAGAATATCCTCTAGATCCTCTTCCCATGCTTTACCTGCCTCTTCTTGTGCTTCTATTTCAATTACCTCTGGACTCTGATTTTTGTTGCTGTTGATTCAGAGATAGTGGGATCTGTTTTATGATTTTTGTTAGGATTTCTTGTATGTAGGAGGAAATGAGAAACAGCTTTGGGTGGCAAAGCCTTAAGAAAATACAAAGTACTTTAACCCTTTTCGCACCTAACATCAGTATGCATATTCTCCATACTGATCTGTATACATTTTGTAAGGTGCTGACGAGGAGAATTTGTT